AGGGAAAGATATCTCTGCAGCGAATTCCGAGTCATCTGATTCAGACTCCAGTGAAGACCCCGAAGATGTTTTGCGATTCCCGTCGTTTATGTTTAGCGACGAGAGAAACCGAGAGAAAAGTCCCGAAATCCGATCAGAGGTCGAGGTGCATGAAGATTTCTCTACATGGCAGCGTATCATCCGCCTTGATGCACTGCGAGCTGATTCTGAATGGGCGACCTATTCCCCAAAAGCTTCTGCAGTTACAGAAAGCAGAGCACGGCGTTCTGCTGAATCCGTCGGGTTAAAAGACTATGACCACCTAGAGCCCTGCAGGCTCTTCCACGCCGCCCGGCTCGTCGCCATTCTCGAAGCATATGCTCTATATGATCCCGAGATCGGATACTGCCAGGGGATGAGCGACCTGCTTTCCCCGATCATGGCCGTGATCACGGATGATCACGAGGCTTTCTGGTGCTTCGTGGGTTTCATGAAGAAGGCTCGCCATAATTTCAGGCTCGACGAAGCAGGTATCCAAAGACAGCTAAACCTCGTATCGAGAATAATCAAATGCAAGGACTCGCAGCTTTACAAGCACTTGGAAAATCTCCAAGCCGAAGATTGCAGCTTCGTTTACAGGATGGTATTGGTGATGTTTAGGAGGGAACTCACATTTGAACAGACCCTCTGCCTCTGGGAAGTGATGTGGGCGGATCAAGCCGCCATTAGAGCCGGTGTTGGCGGAAAATCTCCGTGGAGCAGAATCCGGCAACAGGCACCGCCCACCGATGATCTGTTGCTCTACGCTATAGCGGCATTAGTACTGCGTAGGAAACTGATCATACAGAAATACAACAGTATGGATGAGATCGTGGAGGAATGTAACAGCATGGCCGGACATCTCGATGTGTGGAAGCTTCTAGATGACGCTCATCACCTCGTTGTGATCCTCCACGACAAGATCGGATCATAAAGTTTGATGCTTTACTGGTTCCGATCGACCTCTAAAGCCCTATTAGACAGGGTTTAAGGTTAATCTCTACCTGTTCTAACCAAACAAGCACACTCTCTGCTCGACTTGTCTGCTTTAACAGGGCATGCTCTTTTGTTTCTCTTTATTTTTCCTTCTATAACACAGAGAACACAAAACTATGTCACTGTAAACCAGATGACGATAGAACAGACATTCCTCTTGAATGTTGAGGATTACTCTGAATCATTGTCTTCTCCACAATACCATCTTGCATGGACCATATTTATATTGAACAAAGCCAATCCTATGTTTACCACAGCTTCATGGTTATCTGAAAATAACCAAACTGAGCTCTTGCCCAACAGAACCTTGTGCCCACATGTCTCAATCTGTTGAAGAAAAGACATGCCGGAAGCAGAAAGAAAGGTAATAGCAACTGAATCAAAAAGTGCAACCAGGTAAGAAAGTGACCGAAGCTAACAAAGTAACAATGCATTATTATCGTTCGGGGTTTGACAAGAATTAGAAAGATCTCAATGAAAACGTGATGCAACAATCTAGGACTATATATAAAGCACCGGTGTATTACATTCTTCAATCAATCTTACATCGCGAGAGAGAAATGCCAGGGACAGAAGATATCGTATCTGTTTTGGAAATCCTACTCTTTCTTGTTGTAACGACGAACCACGAGGGCCACACATAAGATCAAGATCGGAACCAGAAACTGAAGAATATTCATCACGAAATCCGGGGTCTTGTCCGGGTTATAGGCCGGTTGTTGCGGTGGAACATAAGTTCTTTTCGTGGGAACGGTCGAGGAATCAATCTCCCCAATGAAGTACTGATGCATCATATCCCTTGTTGTGTCGCTGTGGCCGACATCTTCAAAATCGCTGGTTGCATCCTTC